GGTCCATCGGGGGGCTGTCAGTATCCGGGAGGCCGTGAGGGAGAGCTTCCACCCTGAGGAGCCCTAAGAGCCTCCCTGGCCTGCCCCACTGGGGGCTTGTGTCTCATTCCTCAGGGTATGTCTATACTACCCCTCACAAGGAGTAACGGTAGTTCGAACTAGGAAGCCTACTTCGAACTACCTAGTTCGTGCCCTCCCTCCCCACAACCTCACTTTCTTCCTGTGTGGGAGGCCGTGAGGGAGAGCTTCCACCCTGAGGAGCCCTAAGAGCCTCCCTGGCCTGCCCCACTGGGGGCTTGTGTCTCATTCCTCAGGGTATGTCTATACTACCCCTCACAAGGAGTAACGGTAGTTCGAACTAGGAAGCCTACTTCGAACTACCTAGTTCGTGCCCTCCCTCCCCACAACCTCACTTTCTTCCTGTGTGCTCAACCTCAGCCGCCTACCCCTCCAGCCCCCGGGGTCTAAGAGGTCCTGCTTTGCACATAGCACACAGCTCCTTCCTACCCCCCGCTCCCCAATTCCCACTCAGATCCCCCGCCCACCAGAGCCCCCTCACAACCCCCATCTTCCACCCCGCTCTGGCCAGCCCCACGCCCAGTCACTAGCACCAGCCTGCCCTCCAGCCCCATTTAACCTCCCTGGGCAGCCCCACCAGCTAGAGCCCTCCTACCCCCACAAGGCTCAGACACCAGCCCAGCCCCACCTCCCATGCGCCCTGTAACACCACAGCCTCCTCCTTGCCCTGGCTCTGTGCCGGTCAGCTCTCAGCCCACTCCACGGGCACCCCAGCCCATCTGCAGCCCCCCACCTCCTCCTTCTCCTGCTTGGCCTCCTTGCGCTCGGCGGCGATGTTCTTCTTGCGGTGGTAGTTGAACTGCGTGTCCTCCTCGGCCTTCACCATCTCCTTTTTGCGCTTGTCGTACTCCTGGGCCAGCTCCCCCGAGCGGCTGATCTCCTCAAACAGCGCCGTGCGCTCCTTGGGGTTCTTCATGGCGATGGACTCCACCGCCCCCTGCGGCCAGCGGGACAGGACCGGGTCAGGCCTGGGGACCGGCCCTGCCCCCGCCCAGCCCCATGCGTGTCCTCCTCGGCCTTCACCATCTCCTTTTTGCGCTTGTCGTACTCCTGGGCCAGCTCCCCCGAGCGGCTGATCTCCTCAAACAGCGCCGTGCGCTCCTTGGGGTTCTTCATGGCGATGGACTCCACCGCCCCCTGCGGCCAGCGGGACAGGACCGGGTCAGGCCTGGGGACCGGCCCTGCCCCCGCCCAGCCCCAC